CGCCTGAGAAATCTAACCATCTCGATGGACGATGGTCTTGGGGCGACGAACAGCCTTTCAGACCTACTGCAGATGTTGCTCGATAGCCAGAAAAACCTGAACCGGCATGCATCCCCGCTAATGTCGGTTCTCAGGACGCTGACGCAAGAGGTGGTTGAAAACGTTTCACTATTCCTGGGAGGATATCAGGAAAACGTGTATGGTTGGCTACGCGTAGTAAAGCTGACAGCAGTCATGCAGCGTTGGACCGACGATGTCAAGTTGTGGCTGGCAAGTGCAGTGCATGGACGAGGTAGTGAATTCCGTCGAAGATCGTTCGGTAGGATCTTTCTACTAGTGGTAGACTTTCCTGGTAAGGGGTTTCAACCGACGGATGACGCAGATAGCGTGGCAATTTAGAATGTAAGCCCAGAAGCAAGCACCGTTTGAGAGAGGGGGTGAGCTACGTGTGCGAGAAGCTGGAGATGCTGGAGAGTAGTCTGGCACCATTGACGCAGGAAGAGAAAATCTGGCATGTAGTGTTTTGGTTGGCTAATGCTTACCAAGCAACGGTTGTCGTCGCTGGTAGCCCTTGCAAGGTCGCAGGCGTGCTGCGTATCCTGCAAGCATTAGAGGAGCGTAAAAATCACTGAGCCCATTTGCGAGACCAGAGCCCATGATGACAGAGCCCGTAATGTCATCCTCCCGAGACGAGCTCAGAATGTACCCAAATGTCCTAGACAGTTTGGTGAATACGATGGCGGATGAAGTCAGCGGCTTGTTCGGCAGGACGCCGAGAGATGACTCAATCAGGCGAACGGATGAAGCAACGACGAAAAGTGACGGAGGTGTTTAAACCGCGAAAGACGAAAACAGATGCCCGGGTAAGATTTTTCCGATGTGAGTGAGAAGGGCTGTTTGCGCGGGATTGTCCGATCAGTCTCAAGAAACTACGAGTAAACAGGAGCGCTACATCGAGGGATAATTGAAGGAAGTTCACAAACGGTTACTTTGATTCGGATGGTGGCGCATTTAGTCGGGTCGGATCAGATTGGTGCCATTATTGATCCCGGGTCTACTGTTAGTACAGTTAGGCTGGGCTTCGTTGAATAACAGTACGAACGGAAAGCATGGAATTGGGTTGAACTACGATGTGCACATAACGGAGAGATGTTATGCGCACACAGAGAAGGCTGTATACGATAAGTAAGAGAAGTACTATTTATGTTGCAGAACTCAGCCATGCTGTGCAAAAGGCACATAAAAGAGTCACAGCCATCAGAAAAGATCCTCTCTAGAAAGGTAGAAAGCGGGGGCTCGTTGGGTGAAGGAGCCACAAGATCAAGTTTTGTACAGCACTGAGTTAAATTACGTGAAAGCTGACGGAAAAAGAATAACACGAAGAAATCTCTTACTCAGATATTAACATGGTTTCGCTTGTGGTTTGTATGATTTTGGCACAGTAGATATAGTGAAGAACCAGATAGATACGCCCACCACCAACCCATACATGTACCACCGAGAAGAATTTAACAGTGTGAACGGTGTGTCATCAGCAAACAGGTACGAGAAATGTTCGAAACGGGGGTCACTGTTTTATCAAAGAGCCCTTAGTCATTTTTTGTGATGCTGGTCATAAAGACGGCACGTGGCGCTTTTGTGTTGACTATCGCCGGCTGAATGATGTTACCCAAAAGGATGTATATCCACTGCCGAGGCTGGATGGCATTCTTGACCCGACTAGAATTTATAAAACGGTACTTCTCAACGTTAGATCTTTTCTGCGAAAACTGGCAAGTAGAAATTGCTGCAAATAAGGAAAAGCAGCTTTTAACACAGGCAGACATTAAATGGGAAAATTGTCTCGTTTATTTGGACAACATTCTGTTCTCTTCAACATTCGACGTTCAGAGATTATGCTAGATGCGATCACGAGGGCTGGTTTGTGCCTTCAACCCAATAAGTATATCTTTGCAAGTGGAGAAATACACCGAATCAATGCAGAAGGCTTGTTAATAGACTCAGAAAAGCTCCAGGCATTAGGGCACTACCCAGCGTCATTGAACGTGAAGCAGGGGGCGTTGCTTCCTTGGCCGTGCATATTAATTCCTATAGGCGATTATCACCAGTGGAAAACCACTTACTCAACACCTAGTGAAGAACATACGATGGGAATGGATGAAAGGTAGCAAGCAGCATTTGAGTAACTCACATCGCGGTTAGTGACTGCGGCTATTCTAATTCACTATGACAGAAGTGGGGAAACAAATACATACCAATGCCAGCGTTGACGAAGTTGGGGCAGTACTTGTACAAGGGAAAGACGAGAAGGAAGCAGTAACATCTTACCTTATTTGTCAAGCATCCGCTGCCGAGAGGAAATGGGATTCTAATGAATTGGAACACTTGGCTGTCGTATGGGCACTGCGGAACGGAGCCCGTACATTCACTGATGAAAATTCTTGCCAAAAACGGATAATGC